TTGCATCACTGCTGCAGCTCAGAGTCACTGAATCTCCCTCCACTATTTCTCCAGATGGACTGATGGACACTGAGACACTTCTTGGTCGGTCTAAAAAAATACAAGACATTAACAAAGTAAATTTGACATCACACAAATGAGACTTATAAGTCAGAGATTGATGAAATTCCATAAATTTTGTAAGCAGATGGACTGATGGAGATCACAGGATTCACTGGACGTAGCAGTGCTGGCTGGTGGACACTTTTCTAGATAGGGCTGATGTAACATAAAATAATCTCTAGTTTGTTTTGCATTGCTTTTAATATACTTTGTATGTTGAAAGTTGAGTTAGGTTCGCAATATTTCTCTTCTGCATGTGGGACTTTTATTTTGAATCTGAATCTGCATTCACAGCTAAAGGGGTAATGGCAAAAAGATACAGGAACTAACGCTTCATCACGGCTTGCCAGAACTCTTTCACGGAAAGACTGTTTATAAGTTTGTTCAGCACCCCCCAAAAAAGGCTGACTACAGTTAGTTATAACAAGTATTTTGTGAAATTTGCTGAGTATGTTATAATAATGCAGTAGAGAGAGTCTATGGACAAGGCTTTAATGCACATTTGTTGTACTTTGTTTTATTCAACTCTTACATTGGTTTTCTTGGAGTAAACGGACACTAATAAAACTTCATAAAAATCATCAGTAAAGCTTTGGCTCTTATTCAGTCAGGGGGAAAAAAATATTAAGACTACATTTGGACAGGTTTGAAATGATTGAAATGCAGATAAATGTTTTACCAAATTCTGAAGTTTGAGGAGGATTCTCACAAAACTGTATTTTTCGCAAGCTTTTTTCAAGGTAAATTAAAAATATTTTTTACTTTTCTTAAATTACAATGTATGTACACACTGCAACAGCAAAAACTATGAGGGAAAATAATTGTTACACTTGTTTAAAGGGGCTAAAATGCTTAACGTGCAATTTAGCTTGTTGTGTTCATATTCTGGGCTCTTCTGCTCTTCTAGAAAGTATGCTTTGATAATAAGGTGTGGACAGAATCTGGCCCTCCAATATCACTGTTTTAGTATATTAGGCTTCATTATTTCATGTTTAGTTTAGCGTTTAGTGTTTGATAATGTCCCAAATCCATGCCTTCTGAAATGTGCTTGTGTTTTTACTTTGATTACATCATCATACATCAAAACTTTACTTGCGAGACACGTTTGCTTTATCCAGTCCTAGTTCTGACTTTAATTTTTTGGATTTGATTCAGGATTCATTGCTCTAGACCCTCTTTTGGCTAGCTGCCACTGGTATTTATGGTTTATTCATTATTTACATATATACAAAATTTATATGCATTTTTATTCATTGATAAAGCACTGGATTTGTGAAAGCGACCTTTCCTGTTTCCTTCTCAGCCTTAGAAAGTTTCTCTTGTGTTTTAGAGACACAACATTTACATCTGGTTTTGTGTGTCAGAATAATGGTTTTAGTAAAAGGACAAGAGCTTCCACAAAACCTAGTAACCATTTATCAGAGATATATAGCCCTAAACTCTGCTAGCTTTTCAAAGGTAACTTTAAAGAGGAAAAGTCATTCAGTACTCACACGTGACACTGAGCTGAGCAGCAGGAGAGATGTAACTGTGTCCATGTAGAGCACAGCTGTATCTGCCTGCATCCTCTCTTCTGACTGACTGCAGCAGGAGTTGATTGTTTCCGTCTCTTCTCTCAGTTAATGGCTGTGAGTTTCTGTACCAGATGAATGTTGCTCTGTCAGTCAGAGTGCAGCTGCTGTTACATGTCAGACGGACATTATGACCCTCTGTCACTCTCTCAGGAGCCTCCACCTGAAGATCTGAACACAACACACACATTATATCTAGTGCTGCTGTCATACACTGATTATTATTCAACATAATGCACAGAAGAAGAGCTCCGCCTCATGAAACTCACCTGTGACAGTAAGAGTCACTCCTGGATCACCAGTCCATATTCCACCAGGTTTATCAGTGATGAATCTGAAATAGTACATGTGTTCATCTTTCTGTGTCACATGACTCAGTCTGATGCTGCAGTTCTGCTGTGTGTCTCCCAGATACTGAAGCCTCTGACTGTATTCAGGATCCTCAGACAGATCGGGATGCTCTTCACTCTTTACAGGGTTTTTGGTCCAGAACACTTTCATGATCTTATATCCAGTAGGGTATGTATAAGTGCAGCTCATTATCACTGATGAGTTCTTTAGTGCACAGATGTGTGAAGGACTGTAACTCACACCCCAACCAGCACCAGAAACCCCTGAAACACAGAATTCATGAGGATGAAAATGTTGTTTTATCAGTTACACTGAGCCATAAAAACATAACTCTTTTACTTCTTGAAAACAGCTACTGATAAATAGAAATAAAAGCACAGAGATCAAGGACTGAAAAATAACCAGGAAATCAGCCGTGAACAACATGCTGCACTATCAAATAATGAAAAACAAGACTAAGAAAATAATCAAAGTTGATTAATTAAATTCCCAATGACATCAAAATGAGGCTTTTAGTTCACGTTTATCAGATCTGAGCTCATCTATGTGCAACTGAACTCAAAACATATTTAACATATTCACTTCTGAGATCATGAGCCGGAAATATTCTAGTGTTAGACAGATTTCTGTCCAATCAGATGCTCTGAACAATGAGCACGTCCCTCCTAAACCACATGACACTGACTAGCCAATAGCAGAAGACTACTGGATATTTATAAAAGGCACAAGCACTTTGACGTTTCTCAGCTAAACTTCCTGTTTAAAAGGAAATATGTGAGAACAGGACATAAGAAAGTGCTCATCAGCCGCTCATTGTGAGGCCTTAAATAAAATCATCAAATCAACTCCATAGCAGTTTTCACATGATGAAGGGCTTAGGCAGGGACTGGCCATCTAGACCTTCTGGCTGGTTCATCATCGAAGAAAATGTGTCAGATTAAATGACATTGACAGCCAACATAAGAGGGCGCTAATGCAATCTTTTTTGCTTGTAATACACTGAAACTGATGCGAAGGAGAGCGGCCTCGTGATGGCAAGCAAAACACATAAAGGTAAAGGTGAAGTCCTTAAAGACCGGAAAGAAAGTGTACAGTTTGTGGACAATCTTAACATCATTATTTTGCAGTAAGAGATTATAAGATGAATTTGTTTCTTGATAAATGCTCAATTAAAGCAGGAAGATGCTGTAAAATAAGAAAACAGTGAGCTTGTATCTCACCACTGAACATCGCCTGTTTTGTTCTGCCGACTTAATTATAAAATTATATATTTACACAACCAGCTTTTAACTTTCATTTTATTTCACTGTTACATTGTGTATTTAAGCAAAAAGAAAATTAAACGCTTCAGTGAGTCTTCACTAATGTAGCGTCTCGACCAATCTGACACACTAATTTTAATTTGATTTAACAAATCAATTATTCATTAGGTTAACAAATCGTCACAGTCCCCTCACTCAATTAAC